TCGGTTACCTTCCCTGGCACCCGGCGGGGCCCCGGGGCTCAGGGCTTTCCGATGCCCACGGGTGATGGGAAGGGCGGAGGGGCCCCAGCCTCACGCACTGCTCCTGCTGCAGCGCGGTCCCAGCTCCAGGTCGCAACCCCGCCCACGGGAGAGCCGGGGCAGACACCTGGGGCTCCTCTGCCCCTTAGAGACCAACCTGTGGGGCTCACCTGGCCCTGTTGCCTGCGTCTTGCATAGCGGCCTTGCTCCGGGCTAGGACGGGGCCCAAGGGGCATTCCTGGTCCCGGGAAGCTCCCAAACCAGCAGGAGGGGTCCCTTGCGGTGAGGGCCTGGGCAGCTTAGAAAGAGCAGCAGGACTTGAGGTGACTCTCCGGGGCCTGGCCGTGGAACTGGAGTTATTGCTGCTGGTCCCGGCGGGCGGGGAGCAGGCGGCCGGTCCCGTTTAGTCCTGGGTGGCCCACCTCGGGTGGGGCCCCCTCAGAGTGTCCCCTCTGGGCCTCGGGAGCCTGTGTTGGGCCCTTTGACAAGCTCTGGCTGCAGCTGCCCTCCTGCTCCAGAAGTTGCCCCTTCCCCTCGGGCACAGGTGGGGGCCTGGCCTGCAGAGCCCACCCTTGTTGGCTACGGGGCCTGCCGAGGGGCAGGAGGGGGACGTGGTGGGTGCCTGCAGGCTGCCGCAGTGCCCCGTCCACAGGTGCCCCAGATCCAGCTAGAGGTGAGCATGGCCGAGCAGGAGCCCACCGCGGAGCAGCTGGCGCAGATTGCGGCCGAGAACGAGGAGGACGAGCACTCGGTCAACTACAAGCCCCCGGCCCAGAAGAGCATCCAGGAGATCCAGGAGCTGGACAAGGACGACGAGAGCCTGCGCAAGTACAAGGAGGCCCTGCTGGGCCGCGTGGCCGTGTCCGCAGACCCCAACGTTCCCAACGTCGTGGTGACCCGCCTGACCCTGGTGTGCAGCACGGCCCCAGGCCCCTTGGAGCTGGACCTGACAGGTGGGTGGGACCTCCGGCTCCTGGCCAAGGCTGCCTCCTTTCAATGTTTTCTGGGGACCTGGCGCCCTCTGGTGGGGAACACAGGAAGTGCGGCCAAGTGGTCTTTGAAGGCTTTGGCTTTGAGGGGCCTGGGTCCCTCTGGGGGAGTGGGCGGGGCAGTCACAGATGGGAGGGGCTGAGGGCAGTGGCTGCCCCTAGCTGAGCCTCCTAGAGCAATGTCCTCCCAAACAGGTGACCTGGAGAGCTTCAAGAAGCAGTCCTTTGTGCTGAAGGAGGGTGTGGAATATCGGATAAAGATCTCTTTCCGGGTAAGGCGGAGGCTCCGCAGGGACGGGGCCAGGCTGGGGCTGGAGAGCCCGGCTGAGCCCCACTTGGATCCCTCCCTGCAGGTGAACCGCGAGATCGTGTCTGGCATGAAGTACATCCAACACACATACCGGAAAGGCGTCAAGAGTGAGTGAGGGTGGGCGCCAGCCCCCAGAGGGGAGGCGGCCGCCATGGCTAGGCTGTGGGGAGGGGCAGAGCACAGGTGGCCCCCGGGGGTCTGGGCTGTGGAGGGAGCGAGGAGAGGCCGTGTGTGCCTTCGCCCGCTCTGCCCTGACCGCGCTCCCCTGCACTGCAGTTGACAAGACTGACTACATGGTGGGCAGCTATGGGCCCAGGGCCGAGGAGTATGAGTTCCTGACGCCCATGGAGGAGGCGCCCAAGGGCATGCTGGCGCGCGGCAGCTACAACATCAAGTCCCGCTTCACAGACGATGACAAAACTGACCACCTGTCCTGGGAGTGGAACCTCACCATCAAAAAGGAGTGGAAGGACTGAGCCTGGCCCGGGAGACGGGCAGGGCGGACGACGGAGGGATGTGCGCACCCCACCCCACCCCACCCCGACCCCATACCAAAGTGCTGACAGGGCCCCTGCCCAGGCTGCCAGCATCCCGTCTGCCTCCTGCCCAGCCTCAGCCCCGCCTCCTGGATAGTCTAGTGTCCCGCTGCTTCCGCCTGTGCTGCGGGTGGGGAGCCGCAGCTCAGGCCCCCTCCCCTCGGGTCCCTCCAGGGTCCCCACCTGTCCTCACCCAACCGGAGGCCATGGCTTTCCCAAGGGAGTGGGGAGCTCAGGTCCCCTGGGCCTTTTCGGTTGTCTGTCTCCCCTCCGGGGTGAGGGTGGGATGGGGTGCACGATGCAGGGCCTTGGGGCCGGCCATCCTTCCAGCTCCCGCTCCTCCCTGGTCAGTCCATCCATTGCTGTCTGTAACCGTCTAACCATGATGCCTTAACATGTGGAACGTGTGCTGTGGGGCCGTCACTAACCTCTAACCCTGTGTCTGCATGAGCATGTGGTCTCCCAGTCCTGCCACCCCTTCTGCAGTCCCCGTGGCCGGGAGGCGTGGACACACCGCTGCTCCCCCAGCCAGGGCCTGGCCAGCCCCCCTCTCCTTTCCACCCCCGCCCCAGCCAGGGCTGAGGGGCAGCTCCGGGGCCTGGGGAAAGCCAAATTGCCAAAACTGAAGTCGCTTCCAGCACCATCTGAGAGGCCGGTGTCCTCAAGCCTCTTCCTTCTGCCCCAGTGGGCAGCACCAGACCAGAGTCCACGGCCCCATAGAGCCCTCGGACAAAGCCAGCGGCCGAGCCTGCCTTGTCCCACCTGGGCCCGCCGCCTGGATGGCATGCCTGGCCTGTCAGTATTTATTGCCTCCGTACGTGCCGTCCTCTGGGCCCGCTGGCCTGCCGCCTCCGCCCCCAGGCTCCATGCCATCATCCCCAGGCCTCCCGGACGCAGCCAGGACCACTGTGGGACCAAGCGTGCAGAGTCGGAGCTCTGTCCCCTATGCCTCCCTCCTCCCCACCCCCCCCCCCCCCCCCTCCATCCCAGGGCTTACCCATGCTTCAGGCCCGGCTGGAACGCGCAGGAGCCTGTCCCTGCTTCTCTTCTGACCGGGAAATAAACTCCCCAAACTCCCTAAGGAACCTGGTGTCTGCTGCTTGGCTCTGGGCGGGAAGGAGGGCGGGGCCATTCCTCTGCGGTCCCCAAGAGCCAGGTGTGGTGGCCACTGCCCTGCCCTGGTTGAAGGGCTGACAGCCTGCCTCACCCTTCTGGCAGAGGTGCCCTGTGGGCGGTTCAGACCTGGAAACTCCCAAAAGCACCAAGGCTCTGGGTGGGGCAGCCAGGTTGTGGTTCAGTTGGCCTGTCCTTGAGCCCCTGGCCCCCCTCCTGGCCTCAGGAAATGCCCCAACCCCAGAGAAGAGGAAGGAACTTCCTGGGAGACAGCTCCCCAGAGGCAATACGGGAACCAGGGGTGGCTGGGCCCAGGGGCCGTGGGTGGCCTGAGGCCGGGCTGCCAGGGTAGACAGGAAGGCAGGGCCAGGGGCCCAGAGGTGGATTGGGAGGGTGGAGACTGTCCCAGGGGAGCCCTCAGGGCCACCAGTAACTGTCCCCCAGCCCAGCCCTGGGGTGGGAAAGGGCAGGTTGGTGACCTAAGCTCCAGATGGGGTCAGTGCCAGACCCCTTTTACTGGACTGACTTGGGTTTTGAAACCTGCCCTCTCTGAGCCTGTTAAAGTGGTTATGGCCCGGCTGGTGTGGCTCAGTGGTTGAGCATGGACCTATGACCCAGGAGGTCACGGTTCAATTCCAGGTCAGGGCACAGGCCCAGGTTGCAGGCTCGATCCCCAGTAGGGGGCGTGCAGGAGGCAGCTGATCAATGATTCTCATTGATGTTTCCATCTTCCTCTCTGAAGTCAATAAGAACATTTTTTTAAGTGGTTGTGTGTCCCAGGCAGGGGCAGGGCTGCTGTCTCCTGGCCGTGCCCTCCCCGCCTGCCACTCCCCAGTGCTTATCGGCAGGAGCCCTGCCAGCTGGGGTGGCCAGGAAATGCCCTCCTGCCCCACAGGTCAGTGACCACAGGTCCTTGCCAGGACGGCTCCCGAGGGCTGGCCACCTCCCCTCCCCACCAGGACCCCTGTGGGATCCTGGGGCTGGGCCTGGTGCTGGGTGACCAAAGGGCGCTGCCCGCATTGCCCCGCTCAGACACAGCACCAGAGCAGTCCAGGAAGCAGCCTGCCCCCCGGCTCTCAGGTCCATGGGGGCAATGACCCTCCGTGTCCGCCCCCAGCCCAGGGGGACAGGCTTGGGTGGGGGAGGCAGGGAGATGGTACAGCTCAGGCCTTTCCCTGGAAGGTCAGACGCAGGCACCTGGGAACCAGGAGGCTGCCCTGGAGAGGCGGGCGGGGCGGCGGTGACACCAGAGGCGGCCCGTCAGGCGGCAGCTGCTTGTGGGCGCGGGCCTAGCGAGGCTTCCTCCGGCCCAGAGGCCTATTTTCGTGCTTGGATTTTCCCGGTTGCACATGTGACCTCGGACCCCGAGTGCCAAGTTGTCCAGGCGCACTGCCAGCAGCCAGGACTTTGTTCTGGCTCCTCCCCTGGCGAAGGGTCACACGAAATGGCACCTACAGAACCTGCATGACGTGTCTCTCGGGTCCCAAGTCTAACCTGATCTTTCTGGGTGCACCCTGAACCCCTGTCCAACCTGGTGCTCCTGGGCCTGGCCTCGCTGTCCCAGCCAGCCTCTGGTCCCCCTCCCCCGTCCACCGCATCCCCAGGCCACCCTCCAAGCTCTGCCTCCTCGCCCACCCCAGGTGGACCCTCCTTCCACTAGGGGGTGCCCTCCTGCCCCACAGGTCAGTGACCACAGTCACCAGAGCAGGACCCTGCAGGTGACCCCTTAGTCGCCAGTCAGTGTGACAAGAACCTCCTCCAGGCCCAGCACTGTCCACCGTGCCGTCACGGCCGTCAGTCCACCAGGCCACGCTGACCACGGCACCTGCTTCCCGGCTCCGCTCCCACCTGTGCCGCTCGCCGTGGCACAGCCCTGCGTCCCCTCTGCTGCTCAGCAGAGACCCTGCGGCCAGGAGATGTCCTTCCGCGCCGGGCGAGCCCCTCCTGAGTGTCCGCCAGCCTGCTGTTCACCCCTCACCCATCGGCACCCCCAGCCCGGCTGCAGGTGGGAAGGGGGATGTTATTCTGAAGACTGTTGTGGAGAGTAGCCTTTGTCACAACATCGAACCACTCCAGAGTCCAACCATATTTGAGGGGCACTCCCTCTGGAGGATGTTCCGAGCAGCTGTGCCGGTCGAGAGATGCCACAGCCACAGGGCAGGCGGCCGTGACCTCCAAGGGCACCTCCAGCTCCAGGCCAGGGCACAAGGGGGACACCAGCCCTCCCCTAGGGCGAGGCCGGCAGAGGCGTTCAGTGAACCTGGCTGTGTGGGGGCTGGAGGCAGCCTCGCAGCTCCTTCACCCAGCTCCTGACCGACCCGAGACAGGGGACCACAGGCCTCCCCCCACTTCGCTGCTCCCACCCGGTCAGTAGTGGGCAATTAGAGATAGGTAGACATGCCTTGAGGAGAAGGCGTCAAAACACCCTGACCCAGCCTGGCTGGCGTGGCTCAGTGGTTGAGCGTCCACCTATGAACCAGAAGGTCACGGTTCGATTCCCAGTCAGGGCACAGGCCGGGGTGTGGGCTCGATCCCCAGTGTGGGGCGTGCAGGAGGCAGCCCATCAGTGATTCTCTCTCACCGTTGAGGTTGATGTTTCTATTTCTCCCTCTCCCTTCATCTCTGAAATAAGTACAAATACATTAAGCAAGCAAACACAAAACCACCATGACCCATCCACGCCAGAGCCCGAGCCAGGCTGTTCCCCCAGGACCGGGACTTGGCTGTGGCCACCTGGGCTACAGAGCAGTGGCCCTGCCACCTCCCGCACCAAGGTGGGCTCCTCAGCTCCAGCCATGGAGGCTCAGACTCGACTCTGGGTTCGACCGTAGCCAGTGGCCTGATCCTCCTCTGGTCTGCTCCCCCGTGGTCCCAATGTCTCCTCTGGAAATGCTTCGCGGGATGCTCTGGGCGACACTACCTCACGCCAGCCTTCACAGAAGGTGGTTTCGCAAATGCCTTCACTCTGTCCCCATCGGCTGAAAGGACTCAAGCCCCGGTATTTAAGCATCTAAGCTCCAACGTGCCAAGTATTTAGATGCTTAAATACTGGGGCTTGAGTCTACATGTGGTACAAAGGTCCCTCGTCTCAGGCCCCCAAATGCGGTCTGTAAAACCGGGTCACAGCAATCACAGGAAACCTGGGAGTTAGGGCGCGGTCCCCACCTGGGCCCAGAGAGCAGAGAGCACTGGACTGGGGTGGGGACGGCGCCAGGGAGGCACGTGCTCTCTGCAGGAAGTTCCAGCTCCTGTAAGTCACCCTGTGAAGCGGACGGGATCCCAGCGGCACAACCACCTCGCCTGACCCTTGCTCCACTGGAAGCGGGGGAGGTGCGGAGAGGACCGGCGCTGACCTTCAGGAACTGCTCTCCTAGGGGAGGGAGTCCCACTAGATGAGAAAACATGCCGGCGGGGGCAGGGGAGGCGGGGGGCAACGCATTAACAAATGCAAACTCGCGAGAAGCACGAGTCTCCCTTGGCTTCCCCATTTCTGAGATCAGGAGGTTAGTCGACGTGTCCATTGAATGTGGGTGTGTTTCCCCTTTCCTTGCCAACTTATTAAATTGATGATGAGTCTTAAAACCCAGTGGTGGCGGCGGTTCACAAACAAGGAAGTGACTACAAATAAAGGGGAACGCTTCCGGGAGAAGGGGAAGGGAGTGGGGGTGGGGGGTGGGGCGGCGATCCCGCTACCCCCAGTCTTGGGCTATTTTGGGTTTCCTAGGAGCCACGTTCAGCACCAATAAAAGTCAACTTAAACGTTTGTGTTTGGCCCCAAACATCCCAGCACGTCCGTATAAACAGTACGAAGGGGATAGCGTGCGCCCGTTCCCGCATCAGTCTCGGGTCTGGTGTGCGCTACACTCGGGCCGTCGCAG